TGTGCACGACTGCCAGCACGTCGTCGGCGTCGGAGCCTTGGTCGGGGAAGGTGTGGCGTGCCAGCTTCCCGCCGACGCACGAGACACACGGTGAGTCAGTGCTAGGCGTCGACTTGAGGTCCAGCCCAATGACGACCTCGTGCTTGGCCGAGCTCCGGATGGTGTCCATGGCGACGTGAGCAAGCCTTGCATGTAGTCTGTCCGGGGTCGACGTCGTCGCCGAGACTATCGCCCTCAGAGCCACCACATCCGTCATGGGCGACGTCGACTTCGCCGAGCAGGGACGCAGGTCGGTGCAGAGGACCCGGCCAGTATAGGACGCCATGCCAAGGACGTCCCCTGCCGTCGAGACGAGAAGCATCTCGTCGCCATCCTCCTGCAGCCTCACACCGTTCTCCTTCAGCTGGCCAGCCGACAGCAGGTTCGCGTGCACGCCCGGGACGTAGAGCACGTCCGGGATCAGCACCTGCTTCCCGGCGTTCCCTTGCAAGGCGACCGTGCTACGACCCTGGACGTCCTGCAGAGCCCCGTTGAAGCCACGCACGTGCTTCACGTCACCGCTCGGCTGCAGGCTGACGAAGACCTCTTTCGTCCCCATCAGGTGGTGGGAGCAGCCACCGTCGAGCAGGACCACCGACGGGTTCGCCTGCACAGCTGCCGCCATCGCCTGGAAGTCCTTGCCAGCCTTAGGCGCCAACGAGACGGTCGGCTCCACGACGCCGACCAGCGAGCACGACGCCTCCTTGTCGTCTCGCCCCTTTCTGCCAGCAGAGGAGGCGGCGTTCTTCGCCGAGGTCGACGACTTGGTCGACTTCTTCTCCTTGGGCGGCTGGTTTCTGCCTCGACGGGGACGACGGCTGCCAGACCTCCCGCGGCCTCCCTTGGCGTCGTCGTCGTCGTCGTCGGAGTCACTGCGGTCGGGGCACTCAAAGGAGAGGTGGTCGGGGTCGCCGCACAGCCAGCACTCCCGACGTCGACTTCCTCCTCCACGACCGCTATCCTTGGCCGAATTCTTCTTGTCGACTTCCTTGGTCGACTTCCAGCCACTGCTACTACCGCCGCTAGACTGCCCACGCTGCCCAGGTCGACTACCTTGCTTCACCGAGGCGACGTAGTTCACCTGCGCCAGGAGCTCCAAGGGCCGCTCAGCTTCCTGCATCGCCTCATCCTGCAGGATGTACGAGGTAAGGGAATCCTCGTTGAGTGTCGCCCTAGTACTCGGCGCCATAGACGGTCGTTTCAGCAGGTTGTAGTTGCTCATGAGCCCTTTGATGACGTGCGTGAGGTACGACGCCGTCGAGTAGTGCACGCCGGCCATCCTCATGGTGGCGAGAATTCGCCGAGCCCTGTTGCAGTAGTCAGTCGCCGTCTCCTCTTCGCCCATCCGTATGTGCGACAGCTGCTCCTCAAGTTGGCCGATGTACAGGTTGTCGGTGACCTGGTACGTCGACTCAATGAAGTGCCATGCCCGGTGGCCGGCGTCGAGGTACTCCCTGCACGACTTCAAGGCGATCTGCACGCCCGGCGAGCAGCATCGCGAGATGACCGTGAATGTCAACAACTGCACGGCGCGAAACTCTGCACGCAAGTCGGGGTAGTGCTCCTCCGGCGTCGCCACAGTGCCCCTGGCGAAGCCGATCAGCCCGGCCATCTCCAGCTGGGGCTCGATGGCTTCCTTCCAGGTGAGAATATCAGGTCGACCAACAAGCAGAGGGGTGACCGAGATCCGGTCCGGCGTAAACTTGAAGTAGCCGTAGCTCGGTGCAATCCCTCTAGCTGTCCATGGGTTGCCGACATCGGCGGCTGACTGCTTCGTCGACCTCCGACGTCGCCTTGTGAGGAGCCTGCAGCCGCCGACGACCGCATTCCTCTCGCCTGAATGCCACCGACTTCATCGGCGTGTATCACTCCTCGCTGCCTCGACGTGCCTCCCGCACTGCTGCCGACTTGGTCACCACTGGCGTTGACTCCCAAGTCGACGCCGTCCTCGTTGTTCACCGGTCGAGGAGAAGCTGGTTGAGAAGGGGGGTGCTCCGTCGCCCACACGGTGCGGAGTCCAGCCTCGACGACCGCCCAGGGGATAGCCCCGTACTCCTGGGCCTCATGGCGTCTCCTCGCATCCTCCAGCTGTGCCTCCAGGGTGTCCATCACCTCTGTGTCACCTATGCGCACGCTAGTGACTGCACGGCTGCCGGCCTACAAGCAACTTAGGTAAGTGACCACTACGTCGACCTGACTGAAAGGTAAGTCGTGTGCCGTCCACGCTCACCGCACCATGCGGAGATAAATCTATCAACGGGAACTAGACTACGGGCTAGGCACGGGGTAGGAGGGATCTCTGCGTTCGTTTGTTCCTTAGTCGTTTGCTTGTGCTTGCACTACTTGCTGGTTCACGGGGGAAGTTGGCAAGAGTTTCACTAGCAAAGGTTGAGAACAATAGTTCAGAATGATAGCAACAACACTGGCATGCAAGACTACATCAGACCTAGCAAAGCTGCTGGTCGAATTCCAGCGCAGCATGGTCGACTGCGTGCCAGCACGACTTGGTCGACCGCGCTCCAGCAGAGCAAAGTCGCGGCTTGCCAATATTGCAAGTCCATGGTTTACCAACGCTGCAGCAAGTCGGCTGCACAGCGTTGCACTCGCAGGACAACGGTGCACCTGCTTCGCAGGTGCGTGAAGCTGGTTGGTGCACTTTCCTTTGTCACGTGCACAGCGCAGACGCCCAGCTCGACTCCACGTCAGCGACTGCGCCCACCAGCCATGTCGACCTCGGGATACCACCACCGAGGTCGGTCTCGCCACTACCACCTGGGTGACCGTTGCACTCCTTCGCAGAACCTCGTCACCCATGTAACCTGGTCGACCAGGCAACCACCATGTCGACCATCTGCTTCCTCTTGTGCCTGTCGACCTCCCAAGTCGACGACCACCTTCACTCGACCACAACCTTGGTCGACCAGCTCCAGGTCGACAACCCTCCTGGTCGACCAACTCCAGGTCAACCAGCACACCTGTCAGCCGACCACACTAAGTCGGCTTCCCCTGATGAAGTGTCCCAGCACCCAGGTCGACGTCCAGGCGCCTAGGTCGACGTCCAGGCGCCTAGGTCGGCGTCTGGGTGCCCAAGACGCCGTGCAGACGCCCAGGTCGGCGTCCAGGCGCCCAGGTCGGCGTCCAGCCTCCCTAGACGCCGTCCAGGCGCCCAGGTCGGCGTCCAGGTGCCTAGGACGCCGAGGTCGGCGTCCAGCCTCCCAAGACGCCGTCCAGGCGCCGAGGTCGGCGTCTAGGGGCCCAGGTCAGCGTCCAGCCTCCCTGGACGCCGTCCAGGCGCCCAGGCCGGCGTCCAGCCTCCCAGGACGCCGGCCAGGCGCCCATGACGGCGTCCTCCTGCTCGGCGCCCTCCAGCTGAGCGCCCTCACTGCAACTACTGATCGGCTGCGCTCCCCGCACACATGACTACGAAGTCGGCTCCGCCCAAGCGAGGACGTGGCCAACCTCAACTCCCGTCGACAGTGTATGTGCTGCTGGATTCGCCTGTGCATTGCGGTGCAGAGTGGCGCAGATGCAGAAATGCGGGTGGAGTGGTCTGGACGAACGGGTGCATGTGCAAACTTGAGGTAGAGTCCTTACATAGGTATCGAGCTCAAGGCTGTGAAAGCCTGCAGCCCAACATGTTCAACCTTATAGAGGTTGAGTGCTGAGAAAAAATTTCGAGGTGTTGTAATACTTTTATATAACATACATATGCTAGAATAGGAGTAGGATTATTGGGTGTATCTTCAACCACAAATTGTGGTTGAAGCTTGGTTTGGTTCCCAACAATAATTGGACCTCCAATATCGTTGGTTTTAACTCATCCAACAAATAATGTAGCCCCAATTGGTCCAATCAAAATAACAATTATTGCTGGCTGAGTTCCACCAGTACCACCAGTAATGTATACTTGGCTCCTTTGAACCCATAATCAATGCGATTCTCCTTTATCACAGTTGCGAGGTGGGCTGTTAGAGCCAGCATTCCAATGTGTGATATGTTACCAGCATGCTTTGTGGTAGGACAGCCTGAGTAATTAAATCTCTTAAACGACAAGAAGGGACATGGTTGGTGAGGGAATCACATAAGTAAGAGGTGGACAGGTGGATGGCATAAGGAGATGCATCTGGCACGTGAAAAAGGTTACTTGGAGCACTGGGGAAGGTTACCTGGACCACAGGAGAAGGTGCCATCAACGGTGGTGCCCTGCCTGAACCCCAGAGGTCACACACACGAGTACGACCCCTTGCCATCATTCACACACGTGCCCACTGCACATGGATTGTGCACGGCCGCCCTGCATGCATCCTCAGGGAAACAAGATAAGAAATGAAAGACACAGCCAATAGGAGCATGCTTTGAGGCGACTGAGAGATGATGGATGACAGTCAAAGAGATGTGCTGTCATGGTGATAACACCATTGCTGTGAGCATCGTCTTGGTTATCATGACTAGAGCAATGACGTTTAGACACCCTCAAAGTAAACGAGAGAGAGCTACACTGCACCTTATTTGTTGGACTTTACTTTTCAGGTTACAACTTTTTAGTGAGTTTTGTTTTCAGTTGTTGAGTGTAGACTTTCCATCCCCAACATAAACAAAGTTACCCAAACCTATCCATCCAAAATATCCTTGATATGGATGGATCCTCCAAGGATTCCCTCCTGACTAGCCTAGCCCACATGTGCAACATGTGGCCTCACATCCTAGCTTACCAAGGTCGGCTAGCATTGCCCTCAACTTTGAGGTGCTGCAGTTGGCCTCAAGAGTTCGAACATATATATATGCCACTTCCCTAGAACTCATACTTGGACAGGGACAATGCTCTGTGTCTCTAAGACTTGTATCATCTTCCTGCAAAGGACATTTTCTTCTTCCTTCATGCATTTCGTTTCACCGATTCTACTTAAGGCCTTGTACACTCCTCTCTAGTTAATGGATTGTACTCTTTTTTCAACAAGCAATCATTGGAAGCAAGGGGGAGAGCACTCACTGTAAGCACAGGTGCGCGAGTTGTCCGGTTGAAGTGCCTCCACGAATCGCGGGTCATTGCAGTCGCAGTGGTTGCTGGCCCCATCAGGCGTGGGCGTGCACGTGAAGTTGCCACAGGGGTTGAAGAGCGGCCCAAACACCCCACTGGTGGTGCCGTTGACGTTGCAGGGGTCCTTGGCAGCGCGCACCACTGGGTAGATCCCAGGCAGCGTGTTGATCCCACACACGCCGTCGCCCCCCTGGATGTCCATCCGCATGTGCCCGCCGTCGCCCCACTCCGGGCCCCATGAGTTGCGGATGATCCAGAAGGGCGGCGCCATGTGCGGGAAGGTGGGGTCTGAGCCGGTGAGGCGATAGCCCACCAGCAGCACCACGTGGTTCAGGTTGTACGTGAAGCACTCTGGGTCCGCGTACTTGGATAGCTGGATGAGATTTGGGGGCGCATGGGTATGGAATGATTTGGCTGGATTTTCTCACAAGGAGCACTACGTTGTTTTAAACGTGGGAGAAGCACATGTGATGTGGGTGTGCAACTATGCATGTGCACATGTGTGTGTGTGTGTGTGTGTGTGCGCGCGCGCGCGCACGCGCGTCCACATACGTCCATCTGTGTGTGTGTATGTGCACCCGTGAATGAGTGAGTGAGTGGACTCACCCCATCGTGGTTAAGGAAGGAGGGGGCAGTGGCCTGCACATGCACCACCACGGGCTGTCTCTGCACGGCCAGCAGCAGCCCAAACCAGCCGTGGAACGCCGTGCGTTCAAACCCGTCCACTCTGAATGGGCCGCCCAACGGCTTGTCCTGCCATGCCATGGGGTAAGGGAGGGGGGGAGGGGTAAGGGAGGAGGGGCAGGGCAGCGGGCATGAGGAAGGTGGGGTATACGGGAGGACATGGAAAGGGTAGGACATGGAAAGTGGAGCACTGCCATTCCATGCATTGTGGTCCGTATTGTGCTGCCCATGATGTGGGGAACCAACCAGTTGTACCAATCCCTTTGTTGTAGGCTAGGCAGTTCTTCAGAATCCCCAAGTGGCAAATCCAAGAGCAATTGCATGCAAGCAAAAAAGAATTCGGTAGTAGTATAAGAGCATTAATTGGTAAGGGAAGCAACTCACTGATCCGGGGGCCCGGCCTTTGCCACACGAGATCCCAAGCGCTTGCAAGAGAAGAGCAAAGACGGGCATGCCACAGAGCGGGCTCTTGCTGCTGCTCTTCCTGCCCCCTCTCCCTCTCACCACGACCCCGGTCGCAAAATCCTCCGTAAGCCCGAGTTTTTTCTTGTCGTTGAGAGTGACGAGGTACTGGAAGGCCTGGGAGGGCGAGTTGCCCTGCGAGCATGAGGCGCCGAGGGCATTGCGCAGCTGGGAGACGGAGAGGAGCGGCACGGCTGAGAGGTTGAAGAGAATGCTGTAGGCCATTTCTATGCTGCCCACCACCGCGTACGCCCAGCAGTCGCCTGAGAAGGACGAGAAAGGTATTGGAAAGAGGGGAGAGGTGAACAGGTGAGAGATTGAGAGATTGAAGAGGTGACGATGGGATTCCACGCTGCCCAGTAGAGAGATGGAGAGATGGGAAAGAGAGAGGGGGCAGGGAGTAGATGGAGGCGAAATGGTGAAACAAAAGGGGAAAACGGGTAGGGTAGGAGAGGACAAGCCAAAATAGCCCTTTTCTCAGCACAAGCATTCATAAAATGCCCGCCCTCTTATGCCCTCTTGCCCTTTGATCCCCATGTGCAGAAATATTATCCCATTCCATCACAGCCCATCATGTCCCTTCACATCCCATCCCAGCACATTCCGGCCCTCAACCATCCCCTCACCTCCCCTCCCCACCCCCATTCCCTCACCGCAGGCGCCCTGGTTCTGGACAGGCCACGGAAGCCCCTGGTCAGCCCAGGAGAACGCCTGGCTCACAACCCACACCTCCTCCTCCTTACCCCCTCCGCCTCCGCCGCTTCCTCCCCCTCCTCCTGGCTGTAGTGTCTGCACGCCCACACTGGCGTAGCGGAAAAAAGGATTCGCTCCCACTGGTGACAGCGATGCCTCACTGAACCTGAACCCAAATTGCTGGCCTGGGATACGGTAGGGTGGAGTAGGGTGGGGTAGGGTGGGGTAGGGTGGGGTAGGGTATGGCAGGGTATGCAGGGGTAGCGTGGGCATGGGTATGATAGAATATGTGTGGGGAGAGTGAAAGAAAGCCGATGGGTCAAGTCAAGAAGCAAGTGAGCGCAGTGGGAATCAGAGGAAGTGCTGAAGGAACAAGAAACAATCAAGGGCTGAAGGGGGATGGACTTGGTGGGAGCTTGAATAGGGACCTTGGGCGAAGATTTGGGGAAGGATTGACTGGAAGAAAGAGAACCAAGAAATCGAAAAGAAGGGTTGTGTATTTGGTTCAAGCCAGTCATACCTGTAAGAGTAGTTGATTCCGGGAGGCCTGAAAAGAGACAGATAAACGGACGGAGGGAGAGCACACGGGAAAGGGCATGGTAAGCGAGGGAGGTTGAATGGGCCATTTCTGCCTTCCTCGTTCGAGAAAATAATCGGTAGAGTGGGACAACACAACGAGAGGGACAGTGGCAACAGTCAACAACAATGCTGGATGAGTAAGCTCCAGCGGAGGGCTCAATGGGCACCAGCAGAGGAGTACAAGGCAGCGGGGCAAGCACGGAGCAGCAATGAGTGGCATGGAGCAGCAGCACAGACCTGTGGTGATGTTCCAGGTGAGGATGGAGTGCTGCTGTGGGGAGTCAGAGGAGGAAGCAGAGAAGCCCATGAGGAACGATGCATTGGTTGCACTGGGCTGCAGGAACTCGCACAGCGACACCTGCATTGCCACCACTGCCTTGCCCGGCCGGGGGGGCGCCTTGGTCGAGAGGAACACTAGCAGCAACCTCGAAGCCTGTGATGCTGCTGACATCAGTCTTGGGCACGAGGCGGCTGCACTTGATGCCGGGGTTGAGGCGGAAGAACTCGAGAGGGGAGAGCGGCGGGGAGGGCACGGAGCGGATCTGGTCACACGTCTCCCCGGCCTGCACCAGATAGAACTGCGAGCACACCGGGATGAGCAGCGCCGCTGCACTCTCCGCCCGCCGCTCCACACACACCGCCTGGCTGCCAGGCAGCTCCCCGCTGCTGCTGGAGCAGTCCAGCCTGGGGTTGAGCGCCTGGAAGGCTGCTGCACAAGTGGGAACTTGAAAAGGACAGCCGGTGGAGAGAGAGAAGTAGGCTGCTAGTGACTCACACGTGTCGCCCTGATGGGAGGATGGTGGACGGGAGGACGAGAGGATGAAGCAGGGGAGGGAACAACAGAAAGGGAAGACCAAAACATGGGTGAGGGGAAGAGAAGAACATGGGATGAAAGTGAAGGCTGGCCTTGGGAGTCTGTTGGAGAAGGGGCATGTATGAACGAGGGGGGCATTGCAAAGGAGCGGAGGGTCTGGCAGCTCTCCGCTCTCGCTGGCCACTGGAGCAGTCCAGTTCGGGGTTGAGAGGCCTGGAAGGCTGCTGCACAGGGATCGGTGGGAGTAGGGCAGCCAGCGGTGAGAGAGAAGTAGGTGGCTAGCGACTCGCATGTGTCACCCTGGGGGATGGGAGGGGGGTGTTGGGGGGAAGAAGGAGACGGGGGGAGAATGGGGGAGGAGAGCGGAGGATGAGAAGAAGGGATGAAAGATCACGACGAATGGAGAAAAGGGGAGGGGAGCACGTGGAAAGGCAGTCCAGGGTTGTTTATGTTTTCAGCAAAAGCGCTAGGAGTTCGACCTTTGGCAGTTCCAACTGGTGGAGAAAGAGAATTAGGCTGGGGGGGAGGACGTTGAGAGGGGAGGAAAAGAGGAGAGCAAGAGGGTGGGACAGGAACAGGACAAGGAGAAGGAGCGCACTAATGTGAGGGTTGGGAGTAGATAGAAGAGCGAGGAGGGGCACAGAGAAAATGAGGAAAAGAGGGTTTAAGACACGGAAGGCTGCAGTGGGAGGGAGGCAGAAAGAGGGAGGGAAGGACTGTTGGTGCAACCCTACGGTGGCTTGTTGTCCGTGTGCGTGCATGCGTGTGTGCATGGAATGGTATGAGGGCATGAGATAATATATTTTTCATGCTTATAATAGTGTGTGAATGTTGAGTCATGATGACGAATGTGTGTGTCGAGTCAATAGCGAGTTATCGCTATTCGCGTGTCACGCGGTCGTTTGTATACCGTGCGCGGTTTCTATTTTGTTGTGTTTCCCGTGCACGGTTTCTATTTTGTCGTGTGTGGAATGTTCGGCATGTCGCTGGTGTGTGCAGCAGACCCATCAAGAACTCAAGGATGAGTTTATGATGAAGAACCGGAGCCTTGGTGTCAAGATTCAAGTGATCGCGAAGCCCGCGAAAAGGGTACACCTCAAGATTTTGAGAATAGTTACATTACTTTGTGTAGTGTAACATTTCACTTGGTGTAGGCCCTTGTGAAGGGTAGTTTCAAGACCCTTCTTGGTTGGGGACAGTGTGGCACTGTTCCACATCACTGTACCTCGGCTCTTGGGGTTTGTAGGAGCTGGGAGTCATTCCCAACTCGTAACTCTTCCTAATTTGTGTTTTAAGACCATAGTGGTTGCCATAGTGTCGTTCGTTCTGTGTCGTCACTTCCTAATGAAATTTTGCGATCAAAATTGCCTATTGTAGACAACTTAAAGACGCTCCAGATCCAAGTTGAATCAGATCATTTGAAGCTGTGACCAAAACGCTATGAACGTTTAAAGCCGCTGTGCAGAAATCCGACTGTGCACTCTATCTTTCGTTTTTAGGCACATTCAAGCTTATTGTGACTATAACAAGGACGGGGGGAAAGAGGGAGCGGAGGTGCATGGAGGGAGGGAGGGGAAAATGGGGTTAGGCCAACCAGGGACGTGGTGTAGTAGACGGAGCAAGGCATGAGATCGGCTGGCTGGACCACGTTCACCACCGTGCCAACAGCGAGAGGAGCACTGCAGCTCAGATCCTGGAGGGGAGGGGGAGTAGAGTGGGCAGTGGAGGGCGAAGGAGATGAAGGATGTAAGACGTGGTTGTTTATGGGTGGGGATGAGACGTGTAGAGTGTTGGCAGAGCCTTGTAGGAATGTAAAGGGGAGACTCAACAAGCAGCAGGAAAGCAAGGGCTCACCAGGTCTGGGCATGGAAGGATGCTCACGGGGTTCCGGGCTTGCAGGTGGGCGAGAATGAGGCCGTAGACGGTTTGGATGTCGGCACACGTGACACCCCACGACACCACCGTGTACGCGGAGATAACTCTATCAACGGGAACTAGACTACAGGCTAGGCACGGGGTAGGAGGGATCTCTGCGTTCGTTCGTTCCTTAGTCGTTTGCTTGTGCTTGCACTACTTGCTGGTTCATGGGGGAAGTTGGCAAGAATTTCACTAGCAAAGGTTGAGAACAATAGTTCAGAATGATAGCAACAACATTGGCATGCAAGACTACATCAGACCTAGCAAAGCTGCTGGTCGAATTCCAGCGCAGCATGGTCGACTGCGTGCCAGCACGACTTGGTCGACCGCGCTCCAGCAGAGCAAAGTCGCGGCTTGCCAATATTGCAAGTCCATGGTTTACCAACGCTGCAGCAAGTCGGCTGCACAGCGTTGCACTCGCAGGACAACGGTGCACCTGCTTCGCATGTGCGTGAAGCTGGTTGGTGCACTTTCCTTTGTCACGTGCACAGCGCAGACGCCCAGCTCAACTCCACGTCAGCGACTGCGCCCACCAGCCATGTCGACCTCGGGATACCACCACCAAGGTCGGTCTCGCCACTACCACGTGGGCGACCGTCGCACTCCTTTGCAGAACCTCGTCACCCAGGTAACCTGGTCGACCAGGCAACCACCATGTCGACCGTCTGCTTCCTCTTGTGCCCGTCGACCTCCCAAGTCGACGACCACCTTCAGTCGACCTCACCAGGTCGACCACAACCTTGGTCGACCAGCTCCAGGTCGACAACCCTCCTGGTCGACCAACTCCAGGTCGACTAGCACACCTGTCAGCCGACCACACTAAGTTGGCTTCCCCTGATGAAGTGTCCCAGCACCCAGGTCGACGTCCAGGCGCCTAGGTCGGTGTCTGGGTGCCCAAGACGCCGTGCAGACGCCCAGGTCGGCGTCCAGGCGCCCAGGTCGGCGTCCAGGCGCCCAAGACGCCGTCCAGACGCCCAGGTCGGCGTCCAGCCTCCCAGGACGCCGTCCAGGCGCCCATGACGGAATCCTCCTGCTTGGCGCCCTCCACCTGAGCGCCCTCACTGCAACTACTGATCGGCTGCGCTCCCCGCACACCCGAATACGAAGTCGGCTCCGCCCAAGCGAGGACGGGGCCAACCACAACTCAGGCGCCCATGACGGCATCTTCCTGCTCGGCGCACTCCAGCTGAGCGCCCTCACTGCAACTACTGATCGGCTGCGCTCCCCGCACACCCGAATACGAAGTCGGCTCCGCCCAAGCGAGGACGAGGCCAACCACAACTCCCGTTGACACTCCCCTTCCGCGTTCACGCTTGGGCCCCCAGCCCATACGGCAGCACCACTCGGAGAATAGCACGTCGGCGTGCACCCCTCACACAGCACGCCGGTCACCGCACCAGCCATGTAAGAGGGCATGGCACCTACTGCTGCACGTCGTTGTCACCGTCGCCCACGTCGACCAGGCGCACTTGGCCGATTGCAACGGAGCACCGGTTGAAGGCCGGGTAGTGCAGCGCCTTCGTCAAGAAGTCGGCTGGCTGCTCAGCGGTCGGGATGTACCTCAGTGAGAACTTCCCACGCTTCACCATATGTTGCAGCCAGGCTTGTCGCCGTTCCATGTGCTTGAGGTTGCCCGTCAACCCCATGCCCTCGGCGACTATGATGGCCGACTTGTTGTCCACCCGAAGGACAGTCGGCGTCCTGGCGTCCAGCTGCCGGAATTCTGCAAGAAGAAAACGAAGTCGACGTCCCTCCTTGCCGGCTTCTGTTGCCGCCACATACTCCGACTCGGTCGACGACAGTGTCGCGCACTTGATGCGCTGGCTCGACCAGGAGACTGCGGCCCCTCCGTAGACGAACACGTAGCCGCCCGTGCTCGTCCGGTTCTGCTTGTCGCCGGCGTCGTCGGCGTCCACGTAGCCGACCAGCTTCAGCGACTCTAGTCCACCGCCAAACTCCAGGGCGGTGTCACGGGTGTTGGCGAGGTAGGCGAGGCAGCGGTCGACCTCGCGCCAGTGCTGGTCGCTCCTCACCGTGAGGCCGCTCCCCAGCTTGCTGCAGGCAAAGGCGGTGTCCGGCCTTGTCGTTGTCGCCGCAAACTGCAGCGAGCCGACCTTCTGCCGGTACTCCTCCTCCTGGCGCTCCTGTGCCTCTTCGTCGTCGAAGGTGAGCTCTGCATAGGCGTCGACCGAGACCGGCGTCTTCGGGGTGCGCCCAGTCTGCTCCTTGTTGAGAAAACGCCTACGAAGCTTGTCTGCATAGCCCTGCTGGTGGAGCCACAGCTTCCTCGCCGACCTGTCGCGCACGATCTCCAGCCCGAGGTACTTCTGCACCGGCGAGATCTCTCGCCGCTCGAAGGCGGCCTCCAGCAGCTCCTTCAGCTCCTTCAGCATCTTGGCACTGCTGCTGGCGACGAGAAGGTCGTCGACGTAGACCAGCACCCAGCAGGCCACCTTGTCGACCTTGAAGTACAGAGCCTCGTTGACCTGGCTCTTCTTCCACCCGGCGCCGACCAGAACGTCGTTGAGCGCCTTGTACCACAGCAGCGGCGACTGCTTCAGCCCGTACAGGCTCTTCAGCAGCTTACACACCCGGCCGGTCCCGTCACTGAAGTGGTCCGGCTGGTACATGTAGAGCACCCGGTCGAGCTTGCTCTGCAGGAAGGCGTTCTTCATGTTGAGCTGCATCAGGTTGAGTTTGAGCACGGCGATGATGATGAGGAAGATCCTCAGCGTGACATAGCTGCTCACCGGCGCGTACGTCTCGTCGTAGTCGGCACCATACCCCTGTGTGAAGCCCTTCACGACCAGCCTCGCCTTCTCGCGCTCGACGGTATCGTCGATGCGGTACTTCGTCGTCAGCACCCACCGGTTCTTCATGATGTTCACCCCAGGTGGGCGTTCGACCAGCTCCCAAGTTCCCATGCTGATGAGGCTGCGGATTTCCTCCTCCATGGCGGCCTTCACCGCCTTGCCCTTCCAGCTTGCCAAGGCCTCCTTCACCGTCATCGTCAAGATGTCTCAGCGGTGCTCGGGGTCGGCGTGCATGTCGGGGTCGAGCTCTGGCAAGTCGTCGTTCTCCTCGGCGTCGTCGTACAACAGGTCGTCGTCGACCTCGTCGTACACGGTGGTGAAGGCAGCCGGGACAAAGAAGTCAGGCGGCCTCCGAAGTCGGCCTGTCTTCCGTGGTCCGACTTCCACCACGTTGCTGTCGGTGGACTCCTCGGCGTCCGCCTGCTCGGTTTCCTCTTCGCTGGCGTCACCGCCCTCAGCATCCTGGTGCACCATAGCCGACGTCCCTGCCGACTTCTCCCCTGTGGTCGGCTCTCCTGCCGACTACCCTGTCGTCGACTGCTCCTTGTTTGACTTGGCTGCT